GTTTGGACTATCATCGGTTCATGGTTTCCTGGATGTGATCTGCTCGGCTTTTCTTTATGACTGGTTGTGAGGATTGAGTGAAGGAATTGCACTTTCAGTGTACCCTATCATATCGCATGGTCAAGTCTTCCGCTGTGTTTATCTCTCCCTGTGTGGTGTGATACTCCTATCCTCTCCCCTTCCTTCTGTGTATGTATGGGCATATTCGGAAGTCTATGTGAGTGAGTGTTGGCCTTCAGGCAACGAACAACCAGAATCATAACAGTTGGTATCGGAGTGATTGGACCCAAACAGTGAAGCGATTGATGAGTTGGAGCATCCATCACTATCTGGCGAGATACAGGAGTTGAATCTCATGGCGATTTATCACCTTCAGGGTTGTTGTCAGTGAGGGTGGTAGTTGTGAGTGTGTGGCGAGAAGCAACAGGCAGGGGGTGATTGGCGCGTGATACTCAGAGGCCTGGGAGGCTTTGAGAGGCTATTTTAGCCTGGCGATTCATCTGGGGATTGGCGATTGTCAGTGGAGAGATCCCAGAGTATTGCGATTTTGGAATTGGGTCAGGAACCCCAATTTCCAAGCAGCGCTATACTAAGATCATCAGTTATCTGCATCTGAGAGTCCAGATTCACTGAATCTGTCAGTTGAGGGTGAACCGCCTCAGGATTATCTACCGGATCACCAAGTTTGAGAGAATTCTGTACATGGGAACACTGTATACTGGCAGGTGATGAAAGTGGCGAGAGGGGCCTATGCAGACAACCATAGCCAGGGTTTCATCCATCTTCTTCAGAGTTGACCCTGAAGTAAGTGTGTTCCTTACTCTACTCTGTGCAGCGATTCTGGGGTTATTTTTAGAATAGCAAAAATTGGTCTGTCAGTGTGTGTACAGTTGAAAATCGAAATTCAGACTGTCAGACAGCCATAGCCATTTTCCCCTACCTTTCATCTTTGACTTCTACTAACCCTGTTTGACCTCCCTTCTGACTCAACTTTCATCTTCTACTGCTTTACAGTGTTGCAATTCATATTTCACTGTGAATTGGATTGTTCAGGGTCTGTTTGTCAATGATAATGACAATTTGAATTCTGCGCTGCCATAGTTGAAGCTTAGGTGGACTAGGGTCAGTCATATCATTGATTCTGTCCGTCAGAATTCAATTCTGTCAGTCCCTGGTAAATCGCAATTCAATATTCTGTCAGTGTCTGAAATCGCACGGTCAGATTTAATGTTTTGAGTCAGTTACAGTGATTTCTGTAATTCGCCATACCCCAGTATGGCATTCAGGGTCATCCAGTGGTGAAGTCAATAGGGTAAGTCTGAAAATAGGGTTCCCCTGTAGATCGTTACATCTTGGTCATCAGTAGATGTCTGTTAGTCACTCTGATTCACTCTGTCTGATTAATAATCAACACTAATCAGTCCAAGAGTGCATCTTGATAAATCGTTAATTCAGGATTTGCAGTTATTGCGTGCAATTGAAGTGTTAGGTCAGTGAGTGGAAAATCGAGAAATGGATTTTTGGCTGAGTGTTCTTTGAACTGACTCTGACCCTCAAGCAGTCTGCTGAGACTGAGCACTCACTTGCTCTGACTAACAAACCTCTGTCTACAGCCAGGTGACAGCAACTGAGTGTGTACTGAAGGGAAAACTCGGTTACTGTTACTCCCTTGTCTGTCTCCTTTTATTGTGTGTTTATTTTATTGTCTGTTTTGTGGTTCTGAAAATGTCAGACACTGAGAAGGGAGAGGCTTCTGATGTGAAGCCTCAGATCCCGCCTGACCCTTTAGAGGTTGAACTGCGGGCCGAGGAGGAGAAACTCCGCCAGCAGGCCAAGGGAGTTGAAACTCTAAAGGCTGAGCTGCAGAAGAAAGAAGAAGCAGTTCAAAAGGAGGCCACGAGGAAACTGCTTGCTGCAGATGTGGAGAAGGTCAGGGTGAGCGGTTCTTCCAGTCAATATAATAAAGACATCGTTGAGTTCGTCCTTTTGCAGGATGATATCAACCGGTCTTATGTTCTCAGGAAAAGATCCTAAGGTGGATGTTGCAGATTGGGTGACTGCGCAGAGAACTACCTGAGTGGGTTCAAATGTGACGAGGATGTGAAGGTGTCATCCATCCTAGCCCGGTTGGAGAGGACTGCACTGAAATGGTGCACCTCCACCTCTAGCAAGCAGGGGATGGAAATGTCTGATTGGGCGCAGAGACTGGGGGTGGCTGGTTTCCTGCAGCCGCTGCAAGACCGGTTTGCAGACAAGGAGCAAGCGAGAAAGGCTGCAGATAAAATTCTGCGTCTGGGCCAGAAAAAGTTTGACGGCTCCTTGTCCAAACTGTACTCCACCTTTGACAGTCTGACATCGACTCCAGGGTTGGAGATGAGTGAGCAGGATCTACTCATTCATTTCCTCAGGGCAGCGCCTGATCAATACCAGCTTGCCCTTTTCTCTCGGGGCCACAAGGACTGGAGGTCCTTTGGCAGAGCAGCCCTGGACTTGGAGTCCAAACTCCATGTCCAGGAAGCACCTTCTGAAGGAAGGAAGGGACCCTCCTCCAAAGGGCGAAGAAGGAGGAAGGGTGCCCTGTTTGCTGCTGCAGCGTCTGGTTCTGATAGTGACGCAGCATCCCAGGTTGGGAGCCCTCCACCTGGGACTGCATCATCATCAGTTGCAGATACTGGTTTTGCCCTGGCTGATGCTTTGACGAGCATGACCAAGGGAAAATCCTAGGCCCAGAAAGCACCAACCAGCAGCAAGGGGAAGAGTAAGGGACGTCCCTCTTCCCCTAATGCCCAGAGAGTGCCTTTGCCACGAGACGTCCGATGGCCAGCTGACCCACTTGATCCTTCCACCTTCCCCTGGCATGCGCTCAGGATCCAGGAGGGGGTTTGGAGGAAAAGGAAGGATATGGGGGTCTGCCTGAGATGCGAGGGGGACCATTTCCTCAAGGACTGTCCCAGCATGCCTCGCAGGTCTACAGGCGGCTCTAGTTCAGAAAACTAGAGTAGAGAGAGGTGGAAGCAGCAACTCCTTCCACCAGTGCTGATTCACTTTCTGACGAAGGTGAATCTTCACATTCTCTCGCTGGTTCTTCTATTGCAGGAGTTGCATCTGCGGGGTCTTTCACTTTTGAAGACTCTGAGTTGGATGAGACGTGGGAGGAGGAGGATGCTCAGTATATTGCTGATATTTTCCTATTCTTGCAGGAAAAGAAGAAGCATAAATCTGAACTCATCCTGCGTCGACCCTGCATCCTAGGAGCCAAGTTCAAAGGGCTCTTAGACTGTGGGGCTACTCGCAACGTCATCTCTCCCAAGGCAGTCAGCAAGCTGCACTTGGACCAGAGATTGGTGAAATTGCGACAGCCTTCGGAGGTAGGCATTGAAAACTCCTCCACAGTCAGGATTACTACTGTTGTCAAGGGCCTACCTGTGTCCTTTGACAAGCAGGGAGAAGTCAGGCATCGCCTGAACTTCTATGTGTTTCCTAACGTCCCCTTTAACCTTGTCTTCTCTATGCAGTGGCTTGGAGCCACCAATCCTAGGATCGATTGGCGGATCCCTAGGGTTGAGATACCTGACCGGCATGGGGTATATAGCCCTTGCATGCTCGCTGACGAGTACCATCCGGCCAGCAGTTGTTATTGTATGAGTGCTCGCAGATTCCTGCGATTCTCACGCCAGACTGACCACGCCCGTCTGTTCGTGGTTTTCGTCAAACAGACTGACGTGGAGACTGCTCCCTGTCCCTCTCAGATTCAACAGGTTGTGGACAGCTTCTCATATCTTATGGAGGAGCCTACTGGACTTGTCCATAGGCAAACCAAACATAAGATTGAGATCGTGCCTGGTTAGGTCCCTCCCAAGGGTCGGGTCTACATGATGTCTCCTGCTGAACTTGAAGAGCTCAGGAAACAGTTAGAGATCCTGACCAGCAAGGGTTGGATCAGGCCCAGCACATCTGAGTTTGGGCCACCAGTCCTCTTTGTTCCAAAGAGGAATGGTGAGTTCAGGATGTGCGTGGACTATAGAGGTCTCAACAAAATCACGAGGAAGTCTACAGAGCCCCTTCCTCGCATTGATGATCTGTTGAATATGGTGCAGGGCTGTACCATCTTTAGCAAGATCGATCTCAAATCTGGCTATCACCAGATTGAGATGGCTAAAGGCGATGTCCACAAGACAGCCTTCAAAACCAGGTATGGCACTTATGAGTACCTGGTTATGCCATTCGGTCTCTGCAACGCCCCAGACACTTTCCAAACAGAGATGCATCGCATACTGAGGCCTTACCTGGACAAGTTCGTAGTTGTCTACCTCGATGATATCTTGGTATTCAGTCGTTTTGTCCAGGAGCATGCGCCGCATCTGGCTCCGGTCCTCCAGGTCTTACGTCATAACCATTATAAGATCAACAGATAGAAGTCCTCTTTTGGAGTTCCCTCTGTAGTCTATCTGGGCACGTCATTTCTGGAGAGGGGTTGGCTCCTGAAGCAACGAAAGTTGCTGCAGTTCAGGACTGGCCGCGACCTGCTAACATTCGTGATGTCCGGTCCATCTTGGGGCTTGCATCCTACTACAGGAAGTTCATCAAGAACTTCTCTGCGATTGCAGCATTCTTGACTGATCTCACAAAGAAAGACACTTCCTTTCTTTGGACATCAGAATGTCAGGAGGCTTTCACACATCTCAAGGAGGCCTTGATTCGTGCCCCTGTCTTGAAGCTACCTGACCCTACCCTACCTTTTGTGCTTACTACTGATGCKAGTCAGTATGGTGTAGGGGCGGTACTTCAGCAGGATGATGGGAATGGTCTGCAGCCTATCGAATACATGAGCAAGAAGATCAAAACGAAGAAGCTGCATGACTCTACCTATGAGAAAGAGTTGTATGCTCTTGTGTCAGCGCTCAAGCATTGGAAACACTTCCTCCTGGGCAGTCACTTCAAGATCTTTTCAGATCACTGCACCCTTCAGTGGATGAAGTCCCGGGGAGAGCTGAATGACAAGCTTGCTCGTTGCATTCAGTTCATTGACATGTTTGACTTTGAACTGAAACACAAGAAGGGCTGCTACAATCGAGTAGCAGATGCTCTGTATCTGATCTCCTTCACTCACTCATTTGGAGAGAGGACACGTCAGACCATTGCCCAGTTGCTGCCCAGGATGAGATCTTTGGGCCTATTGTGAGGAATCTCCAGGACGATCCTGCCTCTGAACCATAATATACTCTGGTCTCAGGACTGCTGTACACATGCAGCAGACGTGAGGAGCGTCTGTGCATTCCCCAGGACCGCAAGCCGAGGACACTTCTGATGTCAGAGTGTCATGATGCTCGTGGTCACTTTGGGGCCCTCAAATCTTATGCAGCCCTGTCGCAGCGCTTCTTCTGGAAGGAGATGAGGAATGACATGCTGCACTATGTGGAAACCTGTGAGCTATGCCAAAGGAACAAGGTTGTACGCCGACCTTCCCTTGGCCTACGCAAACCCCTACCTATCCCTGATGCTCCTGTACAGTCAGTATCCATTGATTTCACTGACTTGGGTAGGACTACACCACGAGGTATGCGTCAGGTCATGGTATGTGTGGATCGGTTCTCCAAATATGCAGAGTTCATCCCCTTACCACTTGAGGATCGTGTGTCAGCCGTTCAGGCGGCATTTGCTGACAGGTGGGTTACACATCATGGACCACCCACCTCTATTGTCAGTGACAGCGATCCCCGGTTTTGTAGCAATAAATGGCAATCCTACTGCAGGGATTACCTTCATTCTCGTCTGGATATGACATCTGGTTGTCATCCTGAAGCCAATGGACAGGCTGAAGTGATGAACCAGATTCTTTTCCAGCTGCTGCGTCCTGTGATCAGCCCTGATCAGCAGGACTGGGATCTCCATCTGGGTCGTGCACAACTTGTGTATAACACTTCTGTACACTCCTCCACTGGCTTCACACACTACCGGTTACACTGGGGTCGTGAGCCACGGCAGCCTCTCGATGACATCATCGGCAAGTCTACACCTACGCTGACACCTGGAACTGCAGAGTTCACCAGGCGTTACCGTGTGGACATAGAGCCGCGCCCGTGCTAACCTGTTGAAAGCCCAAAAGGCTATGATTCAGCAAGCTAATAAGCACGGGCGTCCTTCTACAATTCGCACAGGTGACTGGATGCGAGTACTCAGTTTTGAGTTGTCACGAGAGGAGGACATATCGCCTAAACTGTTGCCACGATACATGGGTCCATGGCAGGTCTTAGATACAGTGGGAGCTGATCCATTTGGACCATCCTATACACTAGATGTCCCTCTGCATCTACAAACCTACCCTGTCTTTCATGCATCTAAGTTGTTGTCATTCACGCCAGTTGATGCATTCCCAGACAGGCCTCCTCAATTCGGTCCCTCTATCCCTGGCAAAGGGTATGAGGTCGAATCTGTGGAGGATGAGTTAGGTACAGGTCCAGATAAGGAGTACCTTGTGAAGTTCTTGTACCAGCCACACACTGAGGACCGCTGATTTACTCGCAAGGAACTTCTGAAGACAGCCAAGTCTGACATCCTCAAGTATGAGGCAGCACAGAAGGGAGTGTCCCTTCGGCGCTCTGCACGCCTACGCCCCTAGCTCGGAGATCCTCGCTCGGGGGAGGGTAGGTCTGCAATGACTTCTGTTTTCTGGTCGTTTGTAGCCTCTCTCTGTCGACGCTGTATTCGTATTTTGTTTTGGCTGAGGTCTAACCGAGAAACCTACCTGTGGGGGAAATTTGTGAGGGACATATCTGCAAATCCGGGAAAAAACAGGCCCGGTACTAATTTGATTCCCTGCAACTACCCTAACTGCGTATAGCAGGCCCGGGCTACCTTAGGACAGACAGGCCCTAAGGGCCTACGCTGAATAGACGGTCCTATAACCTGTAGCCGGGTCCGGTAGAGGCCAAGAGGCCGAAACAAATACAGTACCGGTCGGTCAGTCTGTCCGGTCTAGGTCGAGTCTAGGCTAGTTGTGGTCTATAGATAGATTGGGCACATCGGTTCAGGGCTTTTGGTGGTTGGTACCATGTACATCGCTGCTGCACAACGCATGAACTGGAAGTGGTGACGGCTCAGAGTTGGGGGAGACAGCCATAGCTGGACCTTCGGAGCATCAGCCATAGCTGGGGCTGATGCTGTCCTCTGAGAGCACGCGGGGCTGTTCAAAGGTCCGAGCTATTTGGAGTCTGCTAGGAGGCGAAAGAGTTGGTGCCCTGTCGGACCCTCCTCCAGAGTGGGGTTCCAGGGTTAGGGCTTTGCAGCCATAGCTGTAGCTTCTCCTCAGACGTCATCTTGTCAGGGTTTGGTGGCGCTGCTGCAGACTTCCACCCGGGAAGCCTTCCGACACTTCGTCATCATTAGATACTGTGGTGCTGGTCTTCTTCTTCATCCCCTAAGTGGCCCTTGGCCTCAGAGGCCTGTTTCAGGGTGGCGCTGCTCCCAGGAGGCTGTATCTGGGTGGCGCTTGATGTTTCAGGGGCTCAGGGGGTGTCATGGGTGTTATTCAGGGTTGGGGAGTGAAGCGCTGCTCATTTCTGAGCAGCGCACTGCAGTACTGAAGTTATCCTGACAATTCGAGACTCTGAGTTTAATAAACAGTGTGTAACTGTGTTTGGACTATCATCGGTTCATGGTTTCCTGGATGTGATCTGCTCGGCTTTTCTTTATGACTGGTTGTGAGGATTGAGTGAAGGAATTGCACTTTTAGTGTACCCTGTCATATCGCATAGTCAAGTCTTCCGCTATGTTTATCTCTCCCTGTGTGGTGTGATACTCCTATCCTCTCCCCTTCCTTCTATGTATGTATGGGCATATTCGGAAGTCTATGTGAGTGAGTGTTGGCCTTCAGGCAACGAACAACCAGAATCATAACACCTACAACACACAACAGCAAAATACCAAGGCAGAGGTCACGGGTTCAAACACACAGGGGTCGACTTGGTATTGTACACGGGTGAGGACAAGGTCTAGGGATCGAGCCCTGGGATCTTCATCTGCTACTGCAAAGGTGAAAACCGTTTCACTCCCGCGGCCTAAATTCGAGGTCCTCAAAGAATATTCTAGTTCAAGAGCCTTTACCTTTCCTAGCTCTTTCATAGGCACGGATTACATCGGGAGCAGTCTCTAGAAGCTCGGTTCGGGTAAACCTGCGGTCTTCTTCCGGTTCTTGATAAGAAAATCTATCTTTGTACTGTTTCTGTGGACAACCTCTACCTCCTGTTTTGAATACATCCTCACCTACTATGTGATCAATGTCGTACCTTCCGTCCATATCCGAAGGGATCATGGACCTCCTCGATGGGAACCGTTGATTCGTAGTACAAGGCAACAACTTTGACACATGAAAGACTGGGTAGGTGTGGAGGTGTGTTGGAATCTCTATCGTATAGGACGGTCCATCCTCTCTGCCCTTGACTTCTAGGACTGGCCACGGTCGTCTATAAGCAGGTAACAGTTTCTGTGAGATGTTCTCCTCAGGAGCAAACTCTTTAGACTTGACCCAGACTAGGTCGCCTACCTGGAACTGTGATGGGCAATGGTGTTTGTTGGCTTGTTCTATCATCTTATGCAGGGCCTTCCAGAGGTTCTCTAACACGGTAGCAATCTCTTTCTTGTGCTGTAGTGCAAACTCCCTAGTACCGGGTGGTAACCTCTGGATTTGATCCCAGTTCAGTCCCTCAAATGGCCTACGCGGTCTAAAGGACTTATGCAGTTCGTTGGGAGTGCGACAGGTTGCTAAATGCACACTGTTGTTATATGCACTGGCTACCTTTGGAAGCATTTCATCCCAGTTGACTTGATCGGGTCTAATGTACATTCTAAGAACTTGTTGCAGGATCTTGTTCATCTGTTCGGTCTGACCGTTAGTCTCTGGATGGCAGCCAGACGACATCAACGACTTAGAGTCGTAGAGTCTCATCAGTTCCTGCCAGTTCTGACTAGAGAATCTGGTGTCTCAGTCACTAACTATAGACAACGGTAGACCATGCTCACTGACCCAATGATCAAAGAACTTCTCTATTACTAAATTTGTGCGTGCCACTGAAGGCAAGGGAACAAAAATTGCATACTTACTAAACCTATCAACTATAACCATGACTTGGCTCTTGCCATGCCTCCTCTTGACCCTAGGGAAAAAAACTGCATCCTTACTAAACCTATCAACAATAACCATGCCTACTCGTGACCCCAAGGAACAAAAACTGCATACTTAGTAAACCTATCAACTATAACCATGACTTCGCTCTTGCCATCGCTCCTCTTGACCAGCATCGATGAAATCTATGGACACTGACTCTCCGGGCCCAGAGGGAATAGGCAAGGGTCTGAAAAGACCTAGCGGGCCTCGCGTAGTAGTTTTATTCCTTTGGCACACTTTACAACTGCGTACATACTATATGCAGTCAGCTTTCATGCCAGGCCATGTATATGCACGAACGAGGTTGGCTAATGTCTTTTGCCAACCAAAGTGTCCCTCTGTGTCGTGGCATTCCCCAAAGATCAGGCTACGGATCTCCTCACTGTTGGGAGCGCACAATCGGTCGACTACATTAGTCTTCTCAAATAACAACCCATTTGTAGTACGGTAATATGGTTCAGACTTTGGGGACTTCTTAACTCTCTTGAGGAGGTCGCTATAGATAGGGTCCTGCGCATACGCCTCTTTGACTCTTTGTTGCAAGTCCCTTCCTATATCCAGATAGTGTACTATCGCACCAAAGTAATCAACTTTCCTACTTAGAGCGTCTGCAACTACATTGTCCTCTCCTTTGACAGGCTTGAGCTCAAAGTCAAACTGATCTATCTCTGCGGCCCACCTAGTAAGCTTAGGCGTCATCTTGGCCTGCGTCTTCAGCCACCTCAATGTCTTGTGGTCTGAGTAGACTTTGAAGTCCCTCCCAAGCAAGTAGTGCTTCCAATGGTCTAACGCTTGCCTGAGAGCGTAGAGTTCCCTTTCGTAGGTAGATGTCACTACCTTTTGTGAAGGCATCCTAGCAGACATGAACTCTACGGGTCTATACCCATTATCATCATCTTGTTGTAGAACAACACCTAGACCATACTGATTGGCATCAGTGGTGACAACAAAGGGCAATGATGGATCGGCTACCTTAAGGATTGGGTGCTCTACCAAGGCCCGCTTCAACTTCTTCAGGGCCGATGTACAGCAATAGCAGAGAAGTTCCTCACGAATTTCCTATAGTAATTTGCCAACCCTAGGAACGACCGCAACTCTGTCAACGTGTGGGGAGTTGTCCTC